AAACCATATATATTAATTTACCCAGAATTTTCTCTGACCTTTCGGTTTTTTTACATATTGATTTACCCAAAAATAATGTAACCTATCTATGTAGTTTCTGGGGTCCTGGTGTAGACAATAAATTATTATATACCACTACTTGAAAATCTGGAAAGTTTATTCACTAGTAGTTATACAATCAAATATTTGAAAAATACTCTACTTTTAAATATTAAATCTGTGATTATACAAGATCTGTATGGTGAACTATTTCTATTAGACTTGTGTGATTTCATTCACATCAATGGAAAAGCTCTGTGCAACACTGGTTAGTCAGCTACAGTCAACCCCCTAAGTGCACACCCCCTTGGGAATGGTGTGCAATTAGGGAATTAAAGCATTTTATTGGCTGCACATATTGGTGATTCATGTAACACTAATTAAAATTTTTAAATTACAAAAAATTCAAGATATGAATCTATCTATTGTACTTTGTTCCATTGTATTTATTTTTTTAAGCTAATATATTTTTCAAGATAATTAATTTGTGATCCACGAGTTAAGGAAAGGATTTAATTAATGCTGATCTGGGCAAATTTTTAAATTCATATAGTGAAGGCATCTATAACAGTCAATGGTTATCAAATGACTTTTAAAAGCTTATAACTCCTTATTAAAAAAGAAAAGAAAAAAGTAAACTGATAGAATTAAAGCTAAAGACCTAAGCTTCATTCCATCGGTTTACCTTATTAGAAAAGTTTTGAGTTATAAGGCTTCAAAGTTAGGCCATTTTATATATGTCTATATGTAAATTGTAAAATTTCGGATGATCTTCCCTTGTGATTTCCTAAAAGGCCGATTATCGACTTAAATTTTTTCGTGATACAGAAAATCGTTCCAATAAAAGAAATTTGATTACTTAAATTAGAAAGATCTTCTAAAATTTGGACGTGACATTTATAGATGATTTGAACCATAATGATAGTAATAATAATAGCAAACAATTTTTCGTCCCCATAGAAAGTCATGCATTTATTATGTTATATAAAACTACCTAAATCAAGGGTAAAAAACTATATTTACTTACAAAAATATGAGCTGTTAATTTTATCAGTTTTCTGTTATTTAATGAGTGGTCCTGGATTGTGGGTATGAAATTTATACATTTAAATATATAAAACAATTAGAATATGTCCCAGAAGAATATTATTGAATGTAAATTTATTTCTTTAATTAATAATGACAATGGTAGCTATTGACTTTATTGACTTTTATTGTGTTTATTTATATCCAAAAAAAACTAACTGTAATTGTTACATATAATATAGAGGGAAATTTATGATATTAAACTATCATGGGTCAAAAGGTAGCAAAACAGCTATATTAACCAAGAATTATTGAGGCATGTAAAGTTGGTGTCTGCAACTAAGAAATTACAATTTGGGATGTTTCAACCTAGGTTGCAACTGGTTACAGAATTTCAAATCAATTGCAGATACCAACTTTAGAGACATGGTAGATTTTGAATGTTAAATCTGGGCATCCATTTTTCTGGTAACTTTATGATTATAATTTGCAACTATTATATAAAAAAATAAAAAATCATTTTTTCAATAAAAAATCTGCATGATTTTAGGCAAAACAATTCTGGATTAGAAAACTCGGATTTTATTTAAGATTATGGACTACTACTAATTGATGCTTATTCCGTCCTTTATTGATGGATCACGAACAAAAATGTTTTTTGACATTGTAACCAAAAATTAATTCCTATTTCAAGCTGAAATTTCCTAAAAGTAAAATTTACATATTACCTGAACGAAAAATCATGGCATAAATATCTAATGCAGCAAGGATTAAGTTGCCTAATAGATTTATGGGTGTTTATATATGTGTAGTATAAATATTAGTATTATTATTAGTATAATATTATTTATTTATAAATATCAGTTAGTCATTTATATTTCTCTTATTACAAACACAATTATTCTCTTTCTTCTTCAATTAAAAACTTATGTACTATGTAAAAGTCTTTCTACATCACTGATATTGATCAACCT